ACTGCCTCTGTTGTGTATTTTTTCGCTAGTTCCAATGGCATTCCTTCCTCTACGTATGCAACTTTTAGCTGTTCCGCTAATTCTTCAACTTCAGATGCATAGACCTCTGCATCTTTATGTCCTTGTCTTTTCTTCGCCAATTTAGCTATTATCGTCTTCGGACTGTCGCCTCTCAGTTCTCTCTTCAGTGCCTCTGCTATTCTTGCGATTGTATCTTCTGTAGTTATAACGTTTCTGGCCTTATTAGTTAATCTTGTCTTTATTAATGTTATCGCTGTTTCCTCGTGTCCTATCGCTATTTTCTCAAGTAGTTCTAGTGCATCTAAAAATGACTGCAGTTTACCTGCTCTTCCATCAAACGCGCTGGGTAACACCTTGCTTGCGATATTTAAAAATTCGTTGATTGTAAGAGCCATACTTATTTCTTGCTCTATGTCGCTATGTTCTTCCTTCTTTATATGTTGTTTCTTTGTCATAGGTAAAGAAACTGGCTTGAAATCTTCTACATTTTGTGTATATTCTTTATCCGAAATTTCCATAATGCTATTATCGTTTACGACTTTTCTATCTCCAGTGAGTCCTTGTATTTGCAATGATTCGGCCGTTTCAATGAAGGTATTTAAATCTTCTTGTCTAATTTGTACTTCTCCATGGTATATAAATTGTAGTAAGTCTCTTAGTGCTTCGTAAGTCACGTTTGTCAAAATTACTATAGGATGTTGACAGGGATTTGACATAAAAATTTCCTTAAAATATGGGCTACAAACCGAAAGAACCATTTTATGCGCTTTTATGCATTTTCCTTGTGCTGAAAGCGTTACGTCTACAAAATCTTGACTCTTCCATAATGCATTTATTCCTGAACTTATATTTTCGTGGAAATTGTTCCAACGCAATGAAAATTTTTCTGACGCCATGGTCAATTGTCTTTAAAAGTTCTTCTAAATTATTTTCCTTCCTTATAAATGTAACAATAATTCTAAATATCCTAATTTAAATAGTAAAATAAAAAGTCATATCAAATTTCTTCGTCTATATTATTTGAAGAATTTGTCATCTAAGCAAATTCATGCCATTCATGGTAAATAACGTCGTAATTTAATATTCCCGATCTGTCGGTGTATTTTCATGGTCAACAATATAAATATTTTTAAAAATATACATTTAGTAAATAAAATGTATGACACATTTGTTTCATTAAAACAATAGAATTTGCTATATAAAGTTATTTAGTGAAAACTTAAAAATAAATTATATACTCTACTTTCAAAGCAATAAAAATTGTATATTCAACATTCTGAACTAGTTAAATTCTTTATATTTCTAATAACTTTTCTCAAGTAATAATTAATAATTTCAATTTGTTAGACTGTATTTATATATAAGGGATAAAAAATAAATTTACTTACATAATACATTTAACATATGGTCCTTATCACTTCACCTTTGTCCATTCTCCATTTATCCATTTTCCATAGTCCATTTTCCCATTTACTGTCCATTGTCCTTAGCTGGAATGCTGTCGCGGGGCTCTCGGCTGGTCTGGTCCGGAATTTCCTTATCTCTTGATGCATTTTCCCATTTCGAAATGCATTGGTTCCATATAACATCTAGTATGCAAATTTCCATCTAAACTTCCAGTGGGATTTTCTTCTCATCTTCTCTGGATGAAGATTCCTGGTTTCTACCACTTCAGGATCGCCATGTAATAAATAATGTTGTGGGGTGGTAAATAACTTGTTGTTAACTTAGTTACCCATTTATTAATCACTGCTTGTACAATCTTTAATGTTACTTAATCTTAAATATATCAGTACTTAATTGACGCTGACTATATGCGGCATTAACTTGCCATTTTGACGCTACATTAATTAAGATCTCCGAGAATGATTGGTGTTGCTTTTAATAGCCTCGGCCTTGCTGGCTCAGCGCTCTTGTTACTATTCGTGTCAAGTGTATTCCCTGACCTACACCACAAGTAAGTCGTGCAATTTTACTAGAGTGCTGACTGGCTGTTTTAATTAGAGTATGTTATATATGAATGTCCTCGATTTAAATTACCAAATGTTTACATAAACAAAATGTTACACGAGTATGAATTATAATATTATTTTATCTGTAATTCTGATATTTAAGGGTTGATATTACAGCGGCTTTTTTACAGGGTGACAGGTTGAAAACCCCTTTATTCGACGATAAGCTGTCATTAGTGAAATATTGATGCCAAATTCTTACATCATTTTCGTTAAAATTCTTCCAGGCTGTTTCCAGTTTGCTAATATAATATCTCGAATTTTTCTTTCATCTGGCGGTGTTGTAAGTTTTTTTGATCACATTTTTGTTTGCGCCGTGGGGGCAAATCTAAATTTTGGTCCAAGTTTTTCTTTATACGGTCCATAGTTTTCCTTAAAACTTTAGAAATTGATGTTATCTTTCTGTTAGAGTGATTAGAGTTCAATAATAAAGTTTTTATTTCCGCTATTTTCCTTGGTGAGATGTCTTTGGCTTTTTCCATGATGTTCTGGTACCACTGGTGTAACAAACATGTAATGTTTTCTAAATTAACAAAAAATAGTATAAGACTGTCAGAACATATCACTAGAGAGCAATTGAAACTATTTATTATCACTCGAAACACCAAGAATACAAAATATTATTCACACATGTTGCAAGCTAGCTGGATAGCACTGGCAAACAATGACATCTGAGTCACCTATTACCACACCCTATGGAAAAGTTTGGACTAAAAATGACAAATAATTATAGGGAAAATCAAAATAGCTCAGAGAAAAGAAAGAACACATAATGCCGAATATAAAAGACAAGAATGGATAGGTAATAACAAAAGAAAACCAAATAATGGAAAGATGAAGAGAACATTTCAAAGAACTAACTCATACAGACGTAGACAACATAGTGGAGATACAAGAAATAAATGAAGAACGAAAAGTAGAACCCATAACAACAGAGGAACTAGAAAAGGCAATTGAAAGAGTTAAATTAGGCAAAGCACCAGGCAAGAATAATATCACCTCGGAAATGATAAAATTCATGGGAATAAGAGGTGTGGACAGCATGAAAGAACTAATGAATGATATCATAAAGAGAGCAAAAATATCACAGGACTGGAAGAAAGACATTATACTACCAATACACAAAAAGAGCGACAAGAGAAACTGTAATAATTACCGAGGTATTACTATATTAAGTATTCCTGTATCGTCTCATATTAAATAGCGTCATTGGTTCTTAAGAAACTGCTGCAGTATTTATTATAAGTGTTATAAGTATAATAATAAATAATTTTTTGAAATGGTTATGAATTAAATAATTATATTAATATCTCACCACAAGAATATGACTACCATGAACAATCCAACGTTCAGGAAAGTTGTATTTAAATACTGTCTCACTCCGCTTTCTCTGTAATGTAATGGTTTACCATCTTGTAGAAACCACATATTTCGCCTTAAATTTGATGACAATTCTTTCAATATATCAATAAAATCATTTTATAAAAATGTAAATAAATCTCGTTATTCAAATTGCAAGATAATTCGCATATCCGTAAAAAATAATTATCAATGGTTCCAAACCATAGGACATGCATTTTAAATATCAATTTTGAATGATGTTTTACGGATATGCGAATTACCTTTCAATTTGAATGGTGAGATTTATTTACATTCTTTACAAAATGATTTTATTGATTTATTGGAAGAATTGTCATCAAACTTAAGGCGAAATATGTGGTTTCTACAAGATGGTACACCATTACATTACAGAGAAAGCGGAGTGAGACAGTATTTAAATACTTCTTTAAACTTTCCTGAACGTTGGATTGTTCATGGTAGTCATATTCTTGTGGTGAGATATTAATATAATTATTTAATTCATAAACATTTCAAAAAATTACTTATTATTATACTTATAACACTTATAATAAATACTGCAGCAGTTTCTTTAGAACCAATGACGCTATTTAATATGAGACGATATTTTATGGAATGTATTGACAAATGAATTAAAGAAAATGGTGGACATAGTGAACACTTACTTTGACAAAAAGTTTAATGTTATTTAGTTTAACTATTTCTTAATTTGGTTTGTAAATAAAATGTTTTGATTATGACTTTAATTTAATACAAATTAAAATAAAATGTTTGATGTAAAATCCAATTATTCTGTTATTTTATCAAATCCTATTATTAATTATCCTGCTGATATATTTATTTTATTTAATATTTCGTTAATTATTGACTTTATTAAGGTATTTTATAACAAAATTCAGAAGTATTGATGTTTTTATCTATTTTTCTTTCATTGCCTGGAGTAATTGCGTTAAATCAGAATTATGCAGTTGATTTGTAAAATGCGATTATCTCGAAAACTATTGAGTTTTGAAGTTATTAACAAGTATACCTTTTTTTTGTTAAAATAATGTATCTTTAATATTTTTTATTTTAAATACCGGTAACTTAAAGAACAAAAAAGTTAAGTGCAAATTTATGCCACGTATGTGGCATATGTGGCGCCCTCTATTAGCTATATCAAAGTATTCATCAAATTATAATTTCTGATGTTAATAGTACCCTGTAATTTTTGTATATAAATGTTAACAAACATGAAAGTTATAGCGAAAAATAAAATTTTAAATTTCCACTTTAATACCCTGTATCTTTTTTAATATCAACATTTTATTAAAGCAAGTTGACTTAAATCGTAATATTTTAAAGTATAGAATCTGCGGTTTCTTTTTGTACAATTACTTAAGGACCACCCTGTATATATACTCTTTTTGTGAAAAAATTGAATTTTACTAGGTGGCTCTAATAATTTGATCACCCACTGTATGTAAACTGTATATATAAAAATAACATTTATTTTTATTTTTAGCAACGTTTTTCTGCTTCATAATTGCGACAACTGTATCATGGTCCACTGTAGTGCTTCCCAAATTATCAAATCCTGAGACAAGTCCCATTGGAAAAAGGATAGGCATGGAAGAAGAAAGTTGGATATCATCCATTTTGACTATAAGTGCCATATGCAGTGTCTTCATTTTTGGATATTTGACAGATAAACTAGGAAGAAAATGTACTTTGTTGATAGCTGGTATGCCGTATCTACTAAGCAACATTATTCTTGCGTATGCATCATCGGTATACCTGTATTATATAGCTAGGTTTCTTATGGGTTTTACTCTGGGAGCGCTTGCTGTTTTGCCTATATATATTAGCGAAATCAGCTACAAAAACCATAGAAATGTATTAGGACCTTTAATTGGTTGTGCAGCTTGTTTTGGTAGTTTATTCCCTAACGTGTTGGGACCATTCGTTTCCATGAAAACGTTTAGTTTAGTACAAGCCGCTATGGCTGCAATTTATTTGGTATTTTTTGCGATTCTGGGAGAGGAAGGTCCGCAATTTTACATAATCAGAAACAAGGAGTTTCAAGCCAGAGCCGTACTAGAACGGTTAAGAGGTGGTTACGAAGACATTGACGAAGCATTTACAGAAATTAAAAATGGATATAATGAAGAAAGACAAGCAACATTAAGAGATATTTTGACTTCTAAGGCTTTAAAAAAAGCGTTTATCATTTGTACGGTATTACTTGTTTTGCAGCAATTTTGTGGCATTGTTGCAATAACTTTTTATGGACAAACACTTTTCGAGAAAAGTAGTATACAACTATCTCCAGAGTTATCTGTTATACTACTGGGAACGGTTCAACTAGTGACGAGCTTTATAACACCTTGTGTAAGCAATAAATATGGTAAAAAGACTTTATTAATTATTTCAGGAGTATTAACAGCACTGTCACAAATAATTTTGGCTATCGATAGTTATGTCGATGGGATAGCAAGGTTCGCTCCAGCTTTTAGGTTCTTACCTCTATTGTGTCTTATCGTATTTATTATTGGTTATAATCTAGGTATTGGACCGCAACCCTGGATAATAATGGGAGAGATATTTCCAACCAGGGTAAAGACAGTTATTAGTTCTGTGGAAGGTTGCACGCTTTTTGTTTGTGCCTTTTTAATGACCAAATATTACATGCACATTGTGAGGACGATAGGCTTTCAGGGCTATTTTCTTTTCAGTGCTATATGTTGTATTATGGTGACAATATTTTCAAAGTTTTACGTGGTTGAGACGAAAGATAAGAGTCTTGAAGAAATACAAAGAGATCTTTCTAAATAATTTTTATTACCTCAAAACATCTAAGTGTACAACCAAAAATGTATAGTTTTATTTATTCACTTTGACTTATACTCGGTTGAAAGATTATCATTACATTTTTTTTATGGGTACATCTGTCCTTCTTCTTCACATTAGTGTCTGATATTGAGCTATTGTACGTAAACACTTTTCTATTTTATTAATTCTATATTCCATGCTTCTTCTTTATCTTGTACCTACTTATTAAAATTCCCTATTTTGCAAGTGATTTTAATTTTATTACTCCTTGTTCTGTTTTTCTTGTGCTCCTCGTTTTTAAGACATTCCTTAATTTAATTAAATTATTTAAATTTAAATATTTGTCCTAAGTCCTACCATTGAGTTTTCAATCTGGAGTTTACATATTATTGGTTCCCTAAAGATTTTCATTGTACATACGTTCAAGTACAGAGACACTTTATTATTTGACGAGACAAAAATTAAATTTATAAAATCCTTTATAAAAGATATAATATTCATAATAAAAAATATAAAGAATATATAATTTCAAAACATTAAGATTTTTGCGTTAGGCTTTCACGGCTATCATCTAAATTGTTAAACTATTTGTTCGGGCTGTTAAGTCGTTGTCTTCTGAGATTAGTTTTCGACGTTTCACCAGCTCTAGGGGTTGACATCTTCTGGATGATGTTACTGAAACTGACCTGCCAGTTTCAGCTTACAAGCGAAGCAGTAACATCTCCAGAAGATGATAACCCCTAGTATTGCAAAACGTCGAGAACTAATCTCAGAAGACAACGGCTTAGCCGCCTGAACAAACAGTTTAACAAATTAAGATTTTCCTTTTTAAGAGCAAGGGTAGGTATAAAAATATGGGAATAATAGAAATACCTCTTGAACCCCAATTAATTAGGGTTCCTTCTTACATAAGAAGACAAATATGTTCCGAGGTTACGTCTCTAGAAATTTTCTTTGAAAAAAATTAAATTGCACAAGACTGTGAGAAGAAGACCTATTGATCCTAAATCACACAGGGTTTGTCAGTACACCAAGGGGAATCAAGACAAAGTTTTAAATTTGTCCTTTAAGAAAGAGAAGTTTATATATATATATATATATATATATATATATATATATATATATATATATATATGTATATATGTATATATATATATATATATATATATATATATATATATATATATATTTATCAAATTATTCTCGACCGTACTGTGTTAAATATTATTTGTAGTCTCAGCAATTGGTCTGTATGAAATAAAACTCTATTTGTTATTTCTCAATATTTCGTCACGATTTTGTGACTTCTTCAGGAGAAAACTGTAAATTTATTATAATTATTATATGTAAACAAAATGAATATTTCAATACTTACAACTTAAGATTAAAAATTTAAATTTTGATAACATATCCAATTTAAATAAATGACATTTTTTTGATTTTAATTTATTTGGGAGTTATGGTAACCGCAATATTTTATAGAGTGAATTCCCATTGTACAATTTTTAGCGAATAAGTTTTAGTAAACAATTACATATTGTGACAGTATTATCCATATAATAAGGTGCAAAAGTAGAAGATTGAGAAAGAATCAGGAACATGGTAAATTGATCTATAAAATGTAATTGATGGTACGTAGTCAGTTATTGGTCTGATGTTATTAGATACTGATATTAAGATCTATCATATCATATATTGTTTAGTATATTACAGTAGATATTACTTAAATGGTTGGTGTCTGTTTTATAATTGATAGATTCTGGAGTTTTATTAATGTGTACCATTTCAAGGAAAAGTCGATTTTTATAATTATCAACTTGTTCCAAGATTTTTACATTATTAAAGTCAAAGCTATGTCCTGTCTTTAAGACTTTTCCTTGAAATGGTACACATTAATAAAACTTCAGAATCTATCAATTATAAAACAGATACCAACCATTTAAGTAATATTTACTGTAATATACTAAACAATATATGATATGATAGATCTTAATATCAGTATCTAATAAAATCATACCAATAACTGACTACGTACCAATAATTACATTTTATAGATCAATTTACCATGTTCCTGATTCTTTCTCAATCTTCTACTTTTGCACCTTATTATATGGATAATACTGTCACAATATGTAATTGTTTACTAAAACTTATTCGCTAAAAATTGTACAATGGGAATTCACTCTATAAAATATTGCGGTTACCATAACTCCCAAATAAATTAAAATCAAAAAAATGTCATTTATTTAAATTGGATATGTTATCAAAATTTAAATTTTTAATCTTAAGTTGTAAGTATTGAAATATTCATTTTGTTTACATATAATAATTATAATAAATTTACAGTTTTCTCCTGAAGAAGTCACAAAATCGTGACGAAATATTGAGAAATAACAAATAGAGTTTTATTTCATACAGACCAATTGCTGAGACTACAAATAATATATATATATATATATATATATATATATATATATATATACCATATTGGTACCATACAGAACCTGATCAAATTAAGGGTTAACATGTCTTCTTTTTTGGTATATATATATATATATATATATATATATATATATATATATATATATATATATATATATATATATATATATATATACCAAAAAAGAAGACATGTTAACCCTTAATTTGATCAGGTTCTCTATAGTACCAAGAAGTTAAAGATTGCAAAATTTTTTCTTCCAGGGTCATCACACTAATTCGCGGACGCTTTCACAAGGACCAGTCTAGTTCTTAATAAATGAAATAAAATTGTATACATGTATGTTTCGCATAAAAGAACTTTCTAAAAAGTCTGATTATAATACCACAGAGAACATACAAGTATACTTGTAATTATTATTATAACACTAAATATTATAAAGATTGATAAGGAAGACATACAGTGCGTTCATAGAATGTTACATGCATTATTATCTTACTAGTTTTTTATTCTCGAAAATAAGACTCTGTGAACGTGTTGTTTTAAAATTAATGGGTGTAAATAAAACATTTAGTAAACATTTATTCGCCTTATAATCCCCATTACAGTAATGCTCTTGTCCCCTGTCAACTTTTAAGTTGTCACTTATGACATCTCCCTTTCCAAAAAGAGAAAAATGCATGTAACGCTTCATATGTACCTCTTAATCTTATTCACTAAGTACAATTATAATCACCTGAGTCTTAATACTGCGGCAAAATTTTAAAACAGGATTTGACTTTGTATTTTTATTAAACTTATCCCTAACAATAACTTCATCTTATACACAGAAATAATTCATCAAAGTTTCATTAGTATAATTTTCCTAACAAACTGAATCATATTAATCAATAATTTAAAATTTAGCATTTGCTGGTGAGTTATATAAATTAAATCTGTTTCTTTGAACCACATTTCCTGGTGGATAAATTTTCCAAGTTTAACCAAATTTGATCTAGATGTATTACTCGTACTTTCCACCCTTGCTGGTATTGCAATTGCATCTCGGGGAGTTACTTATAATTTTATCTGGGCAGGCTTTTGCCAGAAGTCCTTTGAAAGTAGCTTTGCTTGGTACAATCCATTATGTTTCTCCTATATATTAATTATAAAGATGTTTTGTTACAAATACTCTTAATTGGAGCATTACGACACTCTATTATAGCTTCATATGGGTCTCTACCACCATTTTAACATTTGTTAAGCAGTTTTTTAAAGTTTTGAACATATCTTTCTGACATACCGTTTGATTTGTGATAATATAGACGTGATCTTTTACAATCAAATTTCCATTTTTTGGCAAATTCTGTAAACTTGTAACTTCTACACTGGGCACTTGTGTCACAATATAAACTTTTTGATATTCCATAACAAGCAAATTGTGATTTTAGAGCTGCTATTACATGTGGAGTATCTTCCTGATTAAATTTCTGAGTTTGAATAAATTTATTGTAATAATCAATAAGCAACAAGTGAAGTTTACCTTTACAGTAGAAACTATCAGTACAAACTATTTTTCAAGGACCATCTGCAACGTTCCTTAGTAATAAAGATTCAGAACTATTAGTTTTTTGAAATTTTAAACATGTTTTACTATTACTTACAAGATATTCTATTTGTTTGCCCATAAAAGGGCAAAATAAAATTTATATAGCTTTTTTTTTATTTTTTAATGCCCCTGTAATAAAGATGAATCAACTTTTCCATTGATTTCCATAAGCATTTTGGAACTACAACACAAGAATTCTTAAAAAGTAAACCAGTATTTAGAAAAGTTTCTCTTTATTAGAAAAATAAAATTGCAAATTAGAAAAAAACTTTACCTTTATCAGAAGATCAGCATTTTGAACATAACATTATGGCTTGCAGATCAGTATCAGAAAATCTCTCTTTCTGAAATACCTAAATCTTTTTATCACTTAAAGATAAATTCTTAAAAATCATATATAAATGAGCTTCTACTTGTTCATTCCAAAAGTTGTCATTAGAATAATCGGTTCCAAAATTTCTTGAAATAGCGCCTGCTAATAAAAAATATTTTCCAAGGTGGTACTTATATCATATGCTTGTAACCCTAATCTTAACCTTTGTAAGCGTAAAAGGGTTCATTGAAGGGTTTTCGAAAAAAAAAATTCAAAGGCTTGTGATCGGTATCTACAATTATTGATTTTCCATACACATATTGGTGAAATTACTCAAAAGAAATAGCCAATAATTCTTTTTCAATTTAAGCCAATAACTTCTGACTCTCTCATAAAGCTTTGGATGCATTGCATAATCCACTGGCAATTTTTTCTGTAACAAAACTGCTATCAACTAAACGTAATTTATTACTATCAACACTCAATACAATGGGTTTTTTAATATCAAAATAACGTAGCACTGGGGTTATTGTTAAATGTTTATGTATGTATGTTTATGTTCCTAAACGAATTCTACATATTTTTTTAGAATTCTTAAATTACTAGTTAAATCAGAAAGATTGGGAAGAATTTAGAAACATATGTTATCAAACCCATAAATG